ATAAGCACTTCAGTTTAGTTATTTGGTTAAACAGGCACACAAGCCAAAGAAACAAAACATGACACATCATGTACAAAAAAAAAAAAGAAAAGTCAGCAAAACATAACACATGTAAAACAAGAAAAAACAAGAAACCATAACATACACTTCATGCAATAATGGCAATATGAGCCGAAAAGCAATTAAAATTTTGTAAGCGCAACTATGCCTTAAGTAGGTCATTAAGTCGTTAAAAATGGATATATAGAATTGACTGCAATTATATAGATCCATTTTTTTTTAAGGCGGAAGGTATAGTAAAGTAATGTATTTACAAATATCGACCGCACACGATGTCAATGCCATCATGACCCACATACAGTGACGAGCAAAACTGTAACATGGTGTAACACTTTTTAATTCACCCACCGCTATGTTTCCAAGTTCTAACGACTTTCATCCTTTGGTTGTATATTCTTGTTTGTACATCCCTACTCCCTCTCTCATAACGATTTGAAGTCAGTACAACAACAATAAAAAACCCAGCAGACTCTCAGTTTTGCATTTTACAGTTATTTTTTACTTAGTTGGAAGTGAGATGAATTTTTTCTGTATTGTAATTTATTGAAGAAGTAATCACCAGTAAATAATATAGTTAATCAGGAACCATAAATGTAAATAATAGATTTACTGTGGAAAGGCGCAGGAAAGTGGCAAAAAATTTTAGAGTTTGCTACTTGAAAATATTTAGATTGATAAAAAATATAGCCTAAAGTGTTCCCAAGGGCAAAGGAAGTTTATCAAAAAATATTACGGTCCAATATCTTGTGAGCTTAGCAGCAAGTAGCAATGCAGCCACTATTACAGAAGCGCTTAAGGTATTAAACTTTAATGCAAATCAGTAGACAGCGAGGCGACGAATTGCCAAATTGGCGCAAAGGCATCATAAAAGAAGAAAAAAGCTAATTTGACCAAAATATGTGTGCGAGAGTGGTAGCATTTTGCTGTGTCGCCCGAAAACCGGACCGTTGCCTATTGGGATATGTTACGCCTTTCAGAATGCAATAAAAAACATATTTTTAAGTTTCAATTGAAGGTTATTTGGTGTGACAAGACTCAATTAATTGCTTTCAATCAGATGGCCGGGCATGGTATCGGGTCAAAGACCCAAATTAAGCCCATGCGCAACATGTTAGGCAAACTGTGTTTCACAGTGGTCGTTCAATAATAGTTTGGGGTTGTATTTAAACAATTTTGTGGGTCCGTTAGTACGCATTATGCGTAAGGAACAGTATCTGTTCATATTTCAACAAAATTTGCAAGATGTAGTCGAAAAATGAGAGTTTCTGCTGAAAAATCACCCAAAACATACTGCATATGTTCGCAAGGACTGGATACAAAATAAAAAATTTGCTAATTTGAAATGACCTCCACAATCCGCGCACATAAATCTCATCGAGAATTTGCGAAATCAACTAGAAGCACAGCTTATTAAGTATCCAAGTCCGTATAATCGAGTACATGAGCTGTGAAAGCAAACTAAGGATATATGGAGGATATACCTCCAGAAGTTTTACAGAGATAAAAATAAGGTATGCCAAATCGCACCCAGAAACTAAAACAAGCAGAGGGGTACTGAACATTGTGTTAGTAGTTCTTTTTTCTCGTTAAAATTGCTAAAAAGTTCTTAAAAATATATGAGTGCAAAACTGTAACATCTGCCTTAATTTACATTTTTGTCTGCTGGTTTTATTATTGTTGTTGGATTAACTTCAAATACTTATGAGAGAGGAAGTACAGGTGTACCAATAATAACATACAACAAAAGTATGAAAGTCGTTAGAACTTGGAAAGATAGCGGTGACTGAAGTAAAAAGTGTTACACCATGTTACAGTTTTGCCCGTCACTGTAAGTCATAATGAACTCAGCGGGAATTCAACACCATACGTTCAAAGGCACAGTTCAGTATACACTTACCAATTGCATTACTCAAGACAGGCACACTGACCAACTCACGTGACGATCAACTTAACAGATCGTCAGCGTCAGTTTGTCAGTGCGACTGCCAAAATAACTATGACACATATGCTGAGTTAGCATAACATATGCACGTTTGTAGTTTGTAAGTATTAGTGTAAGAAATCTTGTATAAAAGAAAGTAATTTCGAATAAAGAAATCAATTCTTGTTGCACGCTACATATAAGCGTTTCTTTCATTTACAACAACCCCCTCATGCAAAATTTCCTTCCTAGGTGTTTCACGCCTATATAAAAGCGAATTAGAGACTTCATGTTTTTGGAACTACTTCTGAGTGGAAAAATAACCGTGCTATAGGTACAACCAAGACCGACTGGGGCATTCCGTTTTATTTTTGTACCACTGTGTATTTATTACCGTGTAAAAAATCGCCATACTTTTTAATTTGCTTACGCAAATTTTATTGTTTAAAATAATTTGCTTTTTTAATTGTACAACTTTTACAGCTTCCAATACTCCCTTGAGTCCATGGACGTTGAACTGATGTGGGACATGTGTCGTTATGAACAGGCGTGGCATGTTGATCGTACTAGTGTGTGGTGCTCCGTAAGTAAAATTTAGCTTATGTTAGGGTTGCCAGATTTTTTATGCGGGAAATCAGTACCTTAGACTTTTTCATGCTAAAAAAATCAGTACTTTTCAGTACGTTTTTATTTAAAGCAAAATTGTGAACGAAAGTAACAGGCAATACTTTAGAACGCCAGAGTACTTGTTTTTAACAATATTTTGGTATATAAATAAAACATAGTTCATAAAAAATAAAAGTGTCATACATGTTAACATGAGTGTACATATCATTGTACACCGAAGCCAATAAATATATTATTATTTTATATTTGTGACATTGTTGAATAGCAATAATAAGATCATTTCCATCTTGGGCTTTGACTTTTAATTTGAAGTTTACTTTAAAAAATTTTAATTAGAATACGGCTTTTCTCTTTGCGCCAGGAAGCAAACTTTATACTCCCAGATGATTCGTTTGACAACAACAAAAATACATATTTCAAACTGTGGAAAAGTATCACTATTTAGGGACTTCATCTATATTTCCTAATGGCTTAAATTAATTTTTTCAACTATGCAAAAACTTCGAAAGACTAATAATTCGCTGAAAAGAGTATCTAACTCTATGTCTTATATGCAAACCTCGTTTACAAAGTTAGTAAATCGCGAAAAAAGATTTGTAAGCTATAGGCAAAAACCATTCGAATATTTAAATTGGTTGTTATTAAACTGAAAGTTATTTTCGAGATAACTAACAGCACTCGACAAAAAAAAAACGTCAGCATTATTATACCTTTCATGAGCATGAATGGTATTATAACTTTGGTCCGATGTTTTTAAGTACCAGAATAAGAAGAGATACACCCATTAAAATGTATACTTAAATGATCAGAACATCGAGCTGAGTCGATTTAGCCATGTCCGTCTGTTTGTATGCAATCTAGTCTCTCAGTTTTCGAGATATCCGGATGAAATTTGGTAGGTGGGTGTATTTTTATAATGTATTAATCCTGTGTTGAAACCGGAAGAATCGGACTACTATAACATATAGCTCCCAGATATGAGATTTTTCGTTATAACTTCTCCATTTATGCAGCTAGGAACTGAAATTTAGCAGTACTTCCACCCATCATGAAATTTTGCACTGGTGTCACTCATTATCAAAAGAATACTTTCAGCGAAAATGGCGAAGATCGGGTCATTATAACCTATAGCCTCGATACACCTGATTGTTCAGATATGAGATTTGTTTGCCATAAGTTTTCCATTTATGCAGCTAGGAACATGAAAATTCGCACCGTTTCCACTCGTTATTAACAGAATACTTACAGTGAAAATACAAAAGATCGGGTCATTATAACATATATCACCCATACAACTGAATGTTCAGTTATGAGAATTTTCGTTATAACTCCTCCATTTAAGCAGCTAGAAACATGAAATTTTGCAATTCTTCCACCCATTATCAACAGAATACTTACAGTGAAAATAACAAAGATCGGGTCACTTTTACGTATAGCTCCCATACAACTGATTTTTCAGATATGCGTTTTTTTGTTATAACTAATGGGACCAACCGTACTTTTTTCGGAAGTACAGTACTTCTTTTTGAGCCGTTGTACTTCGTACTTCGAAGTACAGTCAAATGTACTTCATTGAAATATTTTTTACTACCCAAGGCACATTGAACAGGTAGTAGAGCAGCTGATGTGATTTTTTTTCAAATTATTCGGTCTGTAAAAAGTAAAATATTTTTAATTTCTTCTCACAAAATATATAAATGGTCAAAATCCCTTTGTATGTGAAAACTTTTCGCATATAAAACAAGCGATTGAAAAGCAACTTCCGGGACGTTCACCTAACTTCGCAGCACAAACGCTGATGCCTGGGTCTTGCAAATGATGGATCAATGCTTCGAGAAGCAAACAAAATTTACTAAGAAAGAAAGTCGTGCCAGTTTTTTCCAAATTTAATATTAAATTTTTACTTTTTTGTATTTTACAAGAAAAAAAATCAGATAATTTTTTCACAGTTTAGATAAGGGAAGCAACAACAAAATACACATAAATGTGGTTTTGCTCTAAAACCTGTTTGATATGCCTTGGTACTACCTTTTAAGTTGAGTTTTCTTTAAGTGTTTCGAAAAAATTTTAAAAGGTTAGTCATTTCAGTTAAGACAGGTACTTATAGATGAACACATGAATAACGACTTTCAATCACTTCACTTCTCTAGCCGAAAAATTTCATTATAAATGGCAACTCAATCCAGAAAAATTAAAAGGTGTTAGAGTTTAAAAATTCTGTGGCGAATCTTATTTGCTCCTGTGGATATTCAGAAACGGCAGTATTGATTACGTAGTAAGCATTTTCTTATCCGGGCAAAATATTAACAATATGCTTATTAACTATCATACAGGGCTTATTTTTTGGACACGAAATTGCTCCATCTTTCAAGTGGTTTTGATTACTTACATCTCGTGAAATAGTCTCTTATTGTACTATCTTAATTTAATAACTTCTCCATATATGCAGTTAGAAACCTGAAATTTCGCACCATTTTCACTCATTATCAACAGAAAGTTTACGGTTAAATTAGCAAAGATCGGGTCACTATAACCTATTTATTGCCTTCATACAACTGATTGTTAAGATATCGGGTTTTACTGTAAAACTCCTTTATTTGGACAGCTAAAAGCGATAAATTTCGTAAGCTGTTTTGTAAATAATAATACAAAGTCTACTGAGAAAATCATCAAAATCTAAGCTGTATAAGCTTTATCTCTAATAATAATAATCCCAACGGTTTTTACCCTCCATTCCCGCCCATCCGCACGAGGGGCGCAGTCCGCATGACGTACGGAACCAATATTTTAAATTTTTGTGCCGAGTCACGATAGGCAGGAGTTTGTTAAGTGTCGAGATCTAAAACTGTTCAGCTACAGAACTAAATTCATCAGCTGATTTTATGTATTTATGTCCATAATTCACTTATTGAGAGAGGAGAGTATCGCTTTCTTAATGCTGAAAAGCGGATCTGATATATCAAACGTGCTGGAGTGAGAGTTAAAATCCTGGCATAAGCAACGGAGTGGGTCGTGCAATTCAAAATTGGTTTTACAAGCTTCCAGAAATATGGGACAAAAGTGTCTTGATACGCGTGAGGGAACATTAAAGCTTACATCAGCCAGAAGAGACGGACTTGAAATTGAGCCTGTCAGTAATTTAACCATAAAAATTATACCAAGCATTTCCCTGCGACTGGCAAGTGTAGGAAGGTTAATAAGTTTTAAGCGACTCTTCTTAAAGCAAAAAGTAGGAATTGTTTTTGAATTGATTCTATCTTGCCAGAGTAAATTTGATACCTTGGATACCAAACCACCGAGCCGTATTCCAGAATCGGCCTAACTAATGTTGTAAACAGGGTTTTAGTGATATAAGGGTCACTAAATTCTTTTGACCATCGTTCCACAAATGCAAGTACACCTTTAGCCTTGTTGACTGTCACATTAATGTGAAGATTAAAATTAAGCTTAGGATCCATTGTGATACCAAGGTCCACAAAATTGTATACCTGTTCCAGGTTATGGCTACCTATTATATAAGAAACTGGCAGAACAGCTCTTCGCGAGAAGCACATTACTTTACATTTCTTAAGATTTAGAGGCATAAGATTTACTTTACACCAGTAAGCCATGCTGTTTAAGTCTGATTGTAGCAAAGACCTTTCTTTAATTGGAACGTACGATTTATAAAGTTTTACATCATCTGCATACATTAAAATTTTGGAGAATTTTATATCTGTAGAAATATCGTTTATAAAGAGCAAGAACAGAATCGGGTCTAGGTGGCTACCCTGAGGGACTCCTGAAGTAACATCAATGACGTCAGAGATAGTATTTTAAAACAATACCCTTTGTGATCTATCATAGAGGTATGAAGAGATCCAACGTTGAAAATTAGGTGGGAGACCAAGAAGATCAAGTTTATAGATGAGCAACGAGTGGCACACTTTGTCAAATGCTTTACTGAAATCAGTATATATAACATCAACAGTTTGGCTCTCACTAAATGCTTTTGAGATATAGGATGTTAATTCAAGTAAATTTGTAGAAGTTGATTTGCCCTTGCATAATCCATGTTGACTGTATGAAATGCTTGAAGTGATAGAATGCGTCAACCGATTTGTATAATGTTATGCCACTGATGTTCATATACCAGTTTTTGCGATATATCTCCTTTATGTAGGAAGCTAAACCCATTAAATTGTGTAACCGGTTTACATACCGATCACACAGCAGTCAAAATCACTTAGATTGGTGCTATATAAGGTATACCTTCCATACCTCTGATTATTTAGATATGATTTTTTATATATGTAGCTCCTATGTATCTATGCTGTGAATATATACATTTTTGAAATGCAGTAATCTGTTAAAGTAAAATTTTCAGATGTTCATGAAAGGTATGAAGCCTTCGGATTAGACGAAGACAGCGCTGCTCTTACTTGTTTTTAAATAATTTAAGCTCCATCATATTATCGCAACTGGAATGTAACAACCAGGCGATATGCCCATAAAAGAATTGATCTTTTTGTTGTATTAATTTCTTAGACATATCAAACATTATCGGAAACATGTCACCTATAATTAAATTATGTTCTTCTTACTTTTTACAGTACAGTTTAAGGAAGTTCCAACGGTATGTACAAACCTTAAGAAAATCTTAAAGTATTTTGTTTGAATTGAAAATTCAGTACAAATCAGTACAAATTTTGAAAAACCAGACCATTAGCGTACTGATTGAAGCAATGAATAAAATCTGTACAAGAGTTGAAAAATCAGTACTGTACTGATAAAATCAGTACGTCTGGCAACCGTAGCTTATGTACATACCCAGCAGTACGGGGGAGTGACTACAGGACTGATGAATCGGAAGGTACCTGATAAACACCGTCAATTCCCGACCGACTACTTGCATTGTATTTCATCGATTACTTTTACAAGCCAATGTCCTAGGCAGTAGTCACCATCGGCTCTCTCTGCACTACCGGGTGTTATTAAAGTAGTGACTTTCCTGATTTA